CCACGGTGCATTATATTTTCTTTACTGTTTTTATAGAAACATTATGAATCCATGAATCCATAGATTCATAAAAGTAATTTTGTCCACTTACACAGAATATTGCATAGCTATTGGATCCTCACACATGAGTATAACTTTTTCTATATTTATACCCTCTGACCAGAAACAGTCCACCAGCTCTTCAGAGGAATCCAATTAATTCCTGCTGCAATTAAGCTGATTGCAGTAACTGTTCCTCTGTAAAGAAATGGGGAAATGCAAGTTTCCATTCATAATTTTTCATTGAAGTGTTTTTTTGTTCTTTACTTCTGACAAAGAATATATTCCAGATGGTTACAGTAATAAAGCAGCTGAAATGGTTCATGTCAGTCATTTGCTGTTCAACTCCAAAATGTGTTCATGTTAAGGTGTGCAAGACGTTATTTCTTCACAAGATGAAAAATTATGTAATGGAGAAAAACCACATACACAGAAAAACTCTTTTAATGATATAACATGTAACTTCAATTGCATTATTATTTCGAAGTAAAAGTTATAGACTACCTTTACTTTGTGAAAGTGTGTCACAGGTTATTTTGCTTTGTGACTTTGACTGCTGGTGCTTAATGGCTCTCAAAAATACCATCGGCAGCACCCCCGGGCCAGGTGAGCGTGTCTGGGTGCTGTGCGCGGAGGTGCGGATGCCGCCGGGAGCTGCAGGCAGGGTGGGGGGACTCTTCCTGCCGGGGTCCGCTCCCGGCGAGGCGAGCCCAGGCGGCGGGGAGAGCGCAGTGCCGAGCGCTGCGGGCGGAACGCCGGCTGCCGGGGCCCTTCGGCTCCCGGCCCCGGGGTGCAGCCGGGCGCTGTCCCGGCCCGGGGGCCGTGTCCCAGTCCGGAGGCGCTGTCCCGGCCCGGGGGCCGTGTCCCAGTCCGGAGGCGCTGTCCCGGCCCGGGGGCCGTGTCCCAGTCCGGAGGCGCTGTCCCGGCCGGGAGCGGGGCGGTGCCGCGGCTCCGGGCCAGGTGCGGCGGGCCCGGGCCCGCCCCCGGCGCCGATTGGCGCTTTCGAAAGGAGCGGCTGGCGCGGCGGCGCCGTGCAGCACAGCGCGGCACGGCACGGCACAGGGCAGGACGGCACGGCACGGCACGGCAGAGTGGTCGGTGGGTGACGGCAGCCCGCACCGGGCGGTGGCGGTGGCCTGGCCCGCGGGGGAGGTGTGGGGCGGCTGAGGGGCAGCGGGTCCGCCCCGGCCCCGGTCCCGGTCCCGGTCCCGGGCGGGGAGCGCGGCGCTGCGGCGGAGCCCCGCTGGCCGCATGCCTCGGGCGCGCTGCTCCGGAGCGGCGGCGCTCGGGGGTCCCGCCCGTGTGCGGGGGCAGCGCTGGGTGCCGCGGGTCGGGGAGCGCCGGCAGAGCCCGTGATGGGCGGAGCCGGTCCCTGAGAGCGGCGTGGTTGCCCGTCCAGTGGCAGCAGTTCATCCAACGTCTCGGTCATGGACGTCGGAAGGGAAGTGCCTCGAAACTTACCCTGGGGAAGGAAGAGGGGAGAGTTTTTGCATAACCGCCCTCAAACCAGTCTCTTCTGTGCCCTACGCAGGCGTTTGAGGATGCTGTGCTGTTTCTGTAGGAAATTTGCCCCAGTGCTCTTGGCTAAAACACTCATTCATATTGCTTAATAAGCGGAAAAGCGTCTGCCTCCTTTCTTTGCCCAAAAGCTGGCCGTGTTCCAGGGATGCTGTGTGTCACCTTTGGCATAGTATCAGATCAAGACATGGGAAAAAGTACATGTATTCCTTTAGGAGCTATAAGGCCTAACTGGGTGCATTTGAAATTTTACCGGGTGAGTCTTTCAGAATAAGAGACGATTTTATATTTAAGTCATAATAAACTACTCCTGACTGTGGCCAGCCAGCAGTATAATGAGCATCGAAAAATGCTCCCCTACTGTGTTACTTTGCTGGAAGAAGTGCGGGTTAGAAACGGAAGGGAGAGAAGAACTTGCTTGTGTATGTGAGGGAGTAACTGGGGCAGCGTGTCTGGTGTTAACCAGCCTCTGCCCAAACTGGATGCTCCTGTGGGAAGGCAGCCGTCTGCATGTCTCCTGTGGAGATGGCAGCTGTTGAGACGAAGTGCTCCTCCCTGATTTCAAGTGGATTTCTCTGCTCCGACAGGTGTACCAGGGCCTTTGCTGCCATTTGGTAGGGGAGAGCGTGCTCACTGCCTCTGCCTGTGCGCACTTCATGGAGAGGCGTGGAAGGGCAGTCTTTGAGGAGACAGCACGCCTTAATATAAAGAGTTGGTTGCCGCCTTAAAGCCCATCACCTCGGACTGACTAGTCTGGTTCTTTCTCTTTAGTGCCTCTGATGCCTCCCCAGGGAAGCAGAGCTCCTGCTGACTCAGTAAATGCAACAAAAAGGTTCTGAAATTGCTGTAGTGATGGAGTAGCTCTCCATTCAGTGGGTGTCTCTTGTGCCTACCCCTTTTATTTTGCATGTTACTAGATGTGTCTGTAAAAAAAAATCTTGACTATCCTGTAGTAGGTTTCAATAGATACTGATGTGATAGCTTCTTTCATTTTAATGTGTTTATAAACATGGGTTTCAGTAGGTACTGTCAAAACTAATCCAGTTGCTTTGGGTTAGACTGTTGTGATTGCCTTCGGGTGTTGATGGAATAGAAGATGATGTTATATATCTTAAATATAGGGTGAAGATGTAGAAGTGTTTCTACCCTAGTGTTTTCTTAATGAGCCTGTTAACAGAAGGCAGTTTAATGAGCCTGTGAATCCCTTTAGGTTCCACTTAAGCAAGGTCAATGGCTGCTTCATCAACGTTTTAGCTATCTGTAGAAAGGGGGAATTTGTTTATTTGTTTATATGTAAACTGTTCAGTCAAGTAAAATGGGATTTGGACTCGGTTCATCTTGTGCTACAGAATGCGTTGTAATTAGTGTAGCATGTCTTGCTGGTTGGGGCCCACTGAATGATCTATAAATCCTGATACAACTGATCCTAAGCAGGCTATCTCATGGAGTATCTAAGAGCTTGTGTTAACACCTTGAAGTATTTGTGTAAAGTGCTTTAGTATTTGCTGACTGTGCTGTTTCTCAGAGTGTCTGGGGGCAAAGTGCTGGGCATCTCTGTGGAGAGCAGAGGCAAACTGTGGTCTCACAACTGTGTGGGTCATGTCCAGGGTGTGTCTGCACCCTCTTTGCTGAGAAATGCCTGTTCCTATACCATGTGTCAATAGATAGGGATGTTTTTCTCATCCCTCTTACCTGGTGTTGATCCATAGCTCTAGTCCTTTACTGCAGGTTTGGCACTCAACCAGCTGAAGGCAATTCTTGCCTCTCCTGATACATAATTTGTGGCTGACCATCTGTCTCCCAGTAAATCACTGTCTCTGTATTGATCCAGCTGTAAGGTGTGGCTCAGTGACAGCTCCTCTCCTTCCATCCCACAAAGCCATTGGCAGCAGAATTGCCAGCAAAAATGAGGTGCTTCCTGAAAGTGGGGTTGGTGGTGGGGGACCTCTGCTTACTGAGCTTGGAATTGGACTGGTTGCCCCCAGCTGGGAAAAGCTCACAAGTTTCTGGTGTTTTCTTTGTTTTAAGGGGTGAAGCAGGAAGGGGAAAATGGAGAAGAAACCACACCAGAAACAGTTGGAGGAAGGGAAAGAATTATTAAAAGAATTGTTTCTACTGTGATGGGCTTATTCAGTCTTCTGTCCCAAGGGACCTTGAGGGTATCAAGGTCTGCCTGGAAACGAGAATGTCGCAGTCTGAAGTATGCAGGGGATGTGTTACAGTGTACTTTTATTCTGAGGTCCTTTCTTTCACAAACTTCAGTGTCTGAACAGTAAATGCCTGTTGAATGAGAGTTGATAAAACTGGCATGTGTAGAAACTGACACAGTCCTATCTGGAGCTGTCAGAATTCAGTATCAGATACTTACTTCATTCATTATGTACAGCTTTTTGATGCAGGGAAACCAACTGGTTTTAGAAGAAGTCAGATTTGGTTATGACTACGTGGTACTGCAGTATTCACTTCACCACAGCACCTTCTGCACATTTACAGGCTGACTACTTGAAGGTGGCACATCTGGGTCTTCTCATCCTGTGCCTCTCTCAGTAAGTGATAAGGCTGCATTAATCTGTATTCCCTGCAATCTCTGAGCTGAACTGTTTGGCATCTGAAAATGGGAAATTGTTACTGTATTACTTTTCAACTCAAAATTCATGCAGTGTAGCTCACATTATCAGAGGGGGTTTTTGTTAAGTGTTTTTCAGATGCCCTGATTATAACTGAAGCCTTTTGACTTTCTAGGGAGCTCTGACATATGGGCTTACAAAATAACTTGTTTTAGAAGAGCAGGCCCTTGAAGTTCAAGTGCCACAATTTTCCTCAATCTTCTCTTTTTTTTTTTTTTTTTTTTTTTTNTTTTTTTTTTTTTTTTTTTTTTTTTTTGGCAAGACTAGTTTTTGTTAGGCATGCTACAAAACTGCAGATGCTGAGCATTCCTGTGATAGCTGCAGTGTGAATATTTTGCTTTGTTCATGTTTTAAGTGCTCCCTGTGAATTAGGCTGCCTTTTGTTTTCCCTTGGCAGTTAATATGTTAGAGCTCTTGTTAGCCTATATGGAACTCCTTATTTTAATGAGTCTGTCTTCTCTACTGGCTGTTCTGCTGTTGTTTTATTTATTTTTTTTAATCAATGAAGCCTCTTATTGAGCTCCTCTTAGGACAATAGCTTTCTTATGCCAAAGGAAAACGTATTCCCCTGGACAAAGCCGTGGGAAGCATAACATGCTCATTAGTAATGCTTGGTATATACCCTTCCCTTCCCTTGTTCATTCATAGGAGGAAAAATGACATCAAGGAGAGGATGTCTCTCTTTTTTTTTTTCCTTCCTTAGAAATAAAAGGAAGGGGAAAGATTATCACTGGTGTATCTCTGACAAGATCTGAGAAAAGTTAGCAGTCCTGCTACAAGGAAGTGTCTTCACCTGAAACCAAACTGGTTGCTCATTTGCCAGTCGTAGAGGTAAGTTGTTTTAAAATGCCTGATACATGTAGTCCCACGTAGACTGTGAGCTTTAAGGTGGTGGAACGGGGGGAGAAAAACCATTCTGCTTTCTGTGTAGGACGAAAAGGTGAGAATTTTTATAAGAATTTTGTTTTCTATGATGGGCTATTCAGCCTTCTATCATAGGAACTCCAGGTTGTGCAAGAGAGAAGATGCCATCTACATACAAAGCCTAAATAGCTGGGACAGGAGAGAAAAGGTACTTAATTTTAAATGAAAACACATGAGTTAAAATGTCTGATAATGTCTGCAATATGGTTTAATCAGTAAGATGAAATTTTATCTCAGCTATTAAGTAACAGAGCAAGTAAGTTGTTTTTAACAGGTTTCAAGACACAGATAGGAAATTTTTGACATTGTAAAATACCACTGGAAAATTATTATGGAGAAATACTCTCTGTACACGTGCATGCAGCTAACCTGGCAATGCTGCACATCTAGACCTGGAGCCTCCAGGGAAAGACTTACTAATCCTTATTCCAGTGTAAAGCTTGTGCTGAATTTTCCCATGGTTGAAAGCATTGCTGGAAAATACAGTGTTGGCTTCAGGAGAGAAAGCTTTGACTGGGTTGTCTCCAAATTTTCCTTAATGATAATTTTGCCAGGGATTTGTACAGATCACTATATTGCAATAGTTTGCAGCATTCTGTTGAAAACTTAGTGCATGCATGCTGCCTGCAAAGTCACAATCCCAACAGAGATTTCTAAAAACATTGATCATGTGTCTATGCTAGAACTTGATGATCTTTAAGATCCCTTTCAACCCACACCATTCGGTGATCCTGTAAGAGAAAAATCTTACTAGTCAAAATGATTTCTCTGTTTTAAGGTTTTCATGATCTTCCAAGTATCTAATGTAAACTCAGAGTGCAGATATATCTGTCTGCACACATGTACGAGATACACTTGTGATAACTGGGAAGGAGAAATCAGAGGCAATTGTTAAATCCAAGAATGGTTTGAAGTATGTGTATTACTCTTTGGCAAAATAAATGTCATACAGCTCCTAAAAATCTTGCCAAATTTGGAGCATTGTTTATGCGTACAAATTTGCTACTTTTGCTGCAATAACGTCACCTTTATCTAAGGGCAGAGTACTGAAGTACTCTGCCCTTAGATAAACCTTAGCTACTAAGATATTTTCCTCTTTCCCCTTCCCTTCCCCTATGAGGCTTATTTTTCCAAAACAGCACTGATGGGTTTTTCTCAGAATTGTCATGAAAGCATGAGAGACTGTAATAAAAATCTCTTATTATATTCCCCAGGAGGAGAAACTAATGTAAAGCAGGTGACCATGCAGAATGCAGTTCAGGTAAATACCTTTTGAAGTGTTTAAATACTGTATATATGTATAATACTTTTTTTTTTAATACTAAAGTCTACCCTGAAGCAGATGAAATACTAGATTTGCCAGTTACCTCTGATTTAAAAAAAAGTAGTAATTTGCCCCTTTTACAAGGACATCCCACTGTTATTATCAAATAGGTGACCCATTCACTTCTTAGCACTGTTAGGTAAGAAGGTTTTGAAGTCAGAGCCTGAGATTATTGAAAAATTTCCATCATGATCAAGAAGTTTTTCTAATAGCCTTATATTCTAGTTAATCACTTAAATAATAAATATATTTTACATACACACTGAACTGAAGGAAAATAGGTAAGAATGCTAGAAAGATTCTGTCTTCAGAAATTTTACTTCACAAAATTTCAGTGTGGTCCTTTTCTTGAAGTGTAAGTTGCCTCTCATTTACAAGATACACAGTTCTGAAGAGAAATGCTAAGTATTTGTGTTCAAGAATTGTGCTATGTCCTTGCATGGAAACGTTTCCTCTTCTAATGCTGTAATTTTTAATGATTTAAGCACAAAATGTCTCTGAAATGTTTGATTAAGAAATCAGTAGTCTGTAGTAAATTATATGATAATTTGCAGATTTCATGACTTAAAATGTACTGATTTAAAAAAACCCAAAGCATTTAATGCATGTTGTCTTTATTCTGTATTCAGGAAAGTATGTAATTTAAAATCCAAGGGAGTCCTAGGCATGCAGTAATATATTGATGCAGGATTTACTAACAAGAGCAGAACCACTTTGTTGCTCTGTTGGTTTGCTCTGTCTGTTGAAAGGGAAGTGAACACTGAGTAACAGTTCTTCAGTCTAATTCAGAGCCACAAGTTTTTGTCATCTGACTGCAAATATTAGAGCTTCCTCTCTTCAGCATACTGAAATCTCTGCAGGTGTGGTTTGGAGATGAGCTTCCCTTGAGCCCCCGCAGTCCTCTGACCCCGCGACACGGGCCAGGTCTGGCAGATGTGTGCCTGTATGACCAATGGATATCTGTGCGGCACGAAGCCACTTTGGTGCCCATGCAAGAAGATCTCTCCATTTGGCTGTCTGGCTTGCTGGGTGAGCTTAAAAATAAATCACTCTAATGAATTTCAAAGCACTTTCAATACTCTAGTCAGTGCTGACATGTAATATCTATAGTACTATTAAGATCTGGTGTTTTGAGTTTGAATGGCTGGGAGAATTGCATTAAAATGCATGCTTTGATTTCAGTTTTATTAGCTGCTGCCTCTTAAGGATTGCAGAATTAATAATTCTAATTTGTATTTCTGAATCTTGTTAGTCTAATTAATATATAATTAAACTAATATTTGATTTTATTTTACTTACATATTTCTTCTAATTTTCTGTCTTTAATACTGGAATGCTATTTGAGTTGTCTTTAAGTTCATATGAAATTTCTTTAACTTTTTCTTAAAGGAATGGATGTCAAAGCAGAACAACTGCTAGAAGAACTTGATAATGGGGTACTGCTTTGCCAATTGATTGATGTTCTTCAAAACACAGTTAAAAAATGTTGTAACACAAACAACTTAAGGGTGAGTTGTAGAATGATTTTTTAAATACATCTATAAAGTGCTAAATTTTAAGTAGTAGTTACAGGGAAAACAGGTGAGCGAAGCTTCCCAAAGAAATATTTTGTATGCAGTGTATCCAGAGACTGATTAACAACAAAGTAGCTTTATAGATGGATAAACTCATCCAACAAATAACTTGCTTTGTTTGTCACATCCTAAGGTCCTTTCTAGGTTTTTAGTTTGGTTTCAGTAGAAGTCTTGCCAGAGGAAGATCAAGTCTGAAGTTTGTTCCTATGACACCAGTGTGGGTTTTTAATAAGATATCCATTGGTGTATGTTTTGTGCCAGAAAGTGGTGGCTGAACTCGTGTGTACAGGTCAGCCATAAAAGTATCCGAACCTGGAGATGGGCTTCAGTGTTTCCATTGGGAGGCAGTGCTTAGCTGAAATGTGAATCTCAAGCAAGTCTCTCTTACTTTGGAGTACAAAGGCTGCAGAACTATGGATTGTTCACTCAGTGACTATTCACAATGATAAAGTAGAATGCCTTCTATATTAGTGTAGCTTTTCTCATGGAATACATGGTGAGTTGAACACAAAATAGTTACAACTGTTTCTGTACTCTGAATTTAGGGTGTATTTTCCTTTGCAAATATGCTTTGAAATCTGTTGGCAAGGTTGATGTGTACAATGTACTTTTTGTTTTCTTCCCTTGCCAGAATTTTCCTATGAGAAAAGTTCCATGTAAGAAGGATGCTCCATCAGGATCTTTTTTTGCCAGAGACAATACAGCCAACTTTCTTAACTGGTGTAGAGCCATTGGAGTTGATGAGACATACCTCTTTGAATCTGAAGGCTTAGGTAACTCTCTCTTTTTGTCAGATTTGCTTTGATCTTTGTGTGAATCACTACCAGGTCAGGGAGATGCCTTGTTATAGACTTTTGAACTTATGATCTTGATTCTGTGTGTGTCTTGCAAGCTTTTATTTATTTTAAGGCAGTGTTGAAGTAAAAGCCTTTAAAAATCAGGTCAATGACTAATATGACTTGCATGATGCTTTTCTAAATTTCTGAAAGTTACTGTGTGGGATGAAGTGGGGACTGAGAGCTGTGCAACCAAATATCATGTTTTCCTGCAATAAAAAGAACCACTGTGAATGTGGTTTCACTTTCTGTGTGTGGGAAGACCACAGGGTCATGGAGTCAGCTCACAATAAGATCCTTTATTTGGTATTACAGCCATTATTCTTGCAAAAATCCCTCGAAATAATACATTCAAGATGGTTAAATTTGGTAACAACATCAGGGCATTGTGTCTTAAGTGACAACAGCCTGTTGGTAATTAACATTTAGTTCAGGACACAACATTGCTGTAAACCATTTGTATTTTCCCATTTAGGAAAATAGTTATAAAAATAAATATTGCCAACTATAAGTATGCCTGCCCCATTGCACAACTGGTGCTGTATAGCATCTTCTAGACTGATGGAATAAAATTGTTTTGACTGCTAGTTAAGAGGATTGTACTTTTATCATACAATAAATAAGGAAATGCTCTTCTACCTATTATGCTCTTCTAGCTATTATGTCAGTAAAAATTAATTAATACAAAACTTTCTATGGCAAGTCAAATTGTTTTTTGTTGTCTGGCTTTTTTTTTAGTAAGCAAAATATCTGCCTGTCAGCAGACTAGCAAAAAACTGAGAAGTATCTTTGTTTTCAGTAATTATATGAAATTGTCATAATACTAATGTATTTTGAAGTCTTTGTTCTATTAAATGCTATTTACATGCTGGCTGGACTGCCCATGCATGTCTACTGGATAAGTCATCTTTTAAAACAGTCGTGAAAACTCCATCATTTGCATGTCTCATTTTGATTAACTAGTGAGTGTATCTTTTTTCAGTGCCAGGAAATGCAGAGTAGAACTGAGTTACAATAATTTATTTTTTTTTGTTCCTTGTAGGAATTGTATTGCTTAAACATGTTAGTTCCTGCAAGTGGACAGGTAACTAGAACCTGTTCAGCTTCCCTGAGATAAACAAACATGATTTCCTAGTGCTGTGGCTTTCACTTGTTGCAAAGAAGCATTTTGAAGTCTAACTCCTGACACAAGCTTGCTTTGTGGCATAAATATCTTCTGTGAGTCTTTTTGGCAGTTGAAATGAGCAGACTTGCAGCCTCCTAGATGAAACATTCTTTCCACTGATATTTTCCATCAGACTTTCAAGCCATTCTTCATGAATGAAACAGGGGAAGGATAAATTGACAATTGTCTTTTTTGTATCAGGTACATATAGCAGCACCTGCTGAAAAGTGTAGATGACTGGGAAGGAAATAAATCAAGAAATCAAGAAGCTTCTCAGACAGCGGAAAGGAAGAGTAGGCATCGTGGGGTGCCCTTTAACATAATGCCAAAACAAATGTCTTGATCTCTGCTAGGGATATATTCAGATTTTTCCCTTTTGGAGTCAAGCAAATTGAAACACTTTTGTTACAACTGGTAAATGCACACACAGATGTGCACATGCATATTCATACACTAAAAAATAGATTAATTGGCCTCTAAAAGTAGCTTTTAGATTATGGCTGTGCCAACTTTCTATTCTAGATTTACCCTTCATAATCTAATCTTTTAAAAAGCAGACTTAGAAATTGGAGTAGATGATGTAAACAAGAAAATCTGACTTCATATTTGGATTATACTTTAGGAAACACATTTAAAATGAAGGCATTTTAAATATCAAATTGAACATCAGAAATGTGTTGGATTTCATCTGTAAATAAAGAGCTGGAACTTTGGAAGTAGTGATAAGAAAAGACCTGTTGCTTACTGCACTGGAAACAGTCATCCAGATTGTTCTTTCCTAACCAAGGTTTAAAACCACTCAGGCTGACTGGCTGTGTAGCCATCCACTTGTGAGCTAGGGCCCTTGCAGTGTATCCTCCACTGGATGGTAACCCTCAGAGTGCATGTACCTAGCTGTGTCTGTAAGCATGAGCATGAACAGATGTATTTTCCTTTTTGTAGTTGTTAAGTGCTTTTTGTCTTTAAGACTGTGCTATTGTATTTGGGAATAGGAAACGGGAAGCATTCTTGTATCTTTCTTTCCTATTCTCATCAAGAAAGATGATCATAAAACATATTTCTCTTAGGAGGAAGAGAAGAGTGGTTTCAGGATTGCCAGGATGGGTTTAAAGACTTTATGGAATAGAAAATTAGAGTTGTAAAGCATGTAGTGGTTTGTCAATGATAATGTACCTTGCCTTTGGGTAGGATGATGGAAATTTATAGTCATGGATACCTCATCTTCCCTTCTCTTGGCTGTACCTAATTGCCTAGGCCTCCTGCAATAAATATGAACTATAACTCCTCTTTATTCTCTTCCCTTTTAGTGTTGCACAAGGATCCAAGACAAGTGTATCTTTGTCTTCTGGAAATTGGGCGCATTGTATCCAGGTACGTGATCCACACATGCTCCCAAAAAGAAATTGAAGGACACATCCTACTAAGTAAAAGCTAAGACAAAGATAGGACGTTGTTTGCAGCTGTTAAGTGTAATGCAGTGGATGTTAATTCTTGCAAAAAGTAATGAATAGCTTTTCTAGGACCATCATACAATATGAATATTTTTTCAATATTTATCAGACTCTTTCCTTGGAGACGTGCTGTTCCGTGCTGGTTTCTATAACTATGTGTTTAAGTTATACATTAATTCTTATGTGTACCTCTTGGAAGAACTGACTGAGCATTAAATACAATTTCAAGGGTTTAAATTTTTCAGCCGTTTTAAAGGTATCTCTTTATTATCTAAATGTAGACTTAATTTATTTCTAGTACGGTGCTGGAAGTTTTAAGATAGTCTATCTAAATTGGATGTGACCTCAACTGTCTAGTTTTGGCAGTATTTTTACTGCATCCACTGCTTAACACCAAGGCTACCTTAGGAAGGGCTTCTGCTAGAAACTCAGAGTGCTCCTTCTCTTTGGATTATCAGGGCAATTACTCCTCTGATTGATTGATTCAGATGTCCTTGTCTGTCAAGCCACTTATAATTTTGGAAGTTTGTTATCATCAGCTTATTTTTGTCTTCTTTAATAAATTAGTAATTAAACACTCTGCTTTGGTATTTGAGGTATGGAGTTGAACCTCCTGTACTTGTAAAACTAGAGAAGGAAATTGAGCTAGAAGAAACCCTGCTGATGACCTCTGGGCCACCATCACCTCTTAGCACACCAAAGTCATGTTGTCACCATGGGGAGCTACATGAGGCAGTAAGTGCTACTTGCTTAGTGTGATACAGGCTTTAAATTAAACTCTTAGTTTGGGACTTGTATGATCTGTCTTAGTAAGGACAGGCTGGTTTTCATTTAATATGTGTGAGCCTCCTCAAACAGAATGGTATGCATGTCTTTTTATCAATTTTGTTTGGAAAATGTAAATAAAATGCTATTCTATATGTTTTGGAGTGTATATAACCTACATTGATTTCTTTTCCCCTCTTCCTTCTCCTTGCTTCTTTGTACATAAGAAATGTTTGAGTATAAGAAATGTTCTCATTCAATTTTTCTGGTGTCAGTATTCTATGAGTGCAATGAATGTTTGTTTCTCTACAATTTGATCTTTTCATAAGACTTCATCAGATGCTAAAGTAGGCTTTGAAAGTCTTTTGAAAGAAGATTTTTAAATCAAACCTCTGTAGCTCTACCGGTTGGAAATGCACATGTATGCAGAAAAGGAAACGATTTGTACAGCTTGTGAACTGGTCCAGAGGAAATGATGAACAATTTTCCTATTCTGCTTAAAAATTCATTTGTTTTAATCCTCTGTGTTGTAATGTAAAAATTCTGTTTCTTTGGGAATGTCAGCCACCAGATCCTTACTTTCTCCGAAAACTCACTATTTCTTCTTCTTGGCAATAGTCTCACCCTTCCAATTTGTTGCATTTCTAAGTGGCTCTTAGAGGCAGATCTTCTCTAACCCAGCCTTTATTTGGGGACTTCCTTTCCCCTTTTTTCAGTGCTTTCCTTCTTGGGTCTTCCATCTTAATAGAAGATTAACTCAGTAGATGGTTAAACTTGTGCTTGTGTCAAAATCTAACAAATGCTTTAAATTTAATATCTAGGTAAAACATATAGCAGAAGATCCTCCCTGCAGTTGTTCCCATCGATTTTCAATTGAATACTTGTCGGAGGGACGTTATAGGCTGGGAGATAAAATACTCTTCATACGAGTAAGTAGTTTTTTAAAACTCAAATTTATATTTATTTTGGGGCGAGAAATGCTTTTAAGTGAAATACCTCATTTTTATGGAGTTGTTTTAGAATTACAGAATTATTTAGGTTGGGACAATTTGACATTCAATCCCTTAGTCTAAATGGGTGCAATTACTCCATTCTTTAGATTTTTGATCCACAAACATTGATTTTACAACCACACTAAACTAAGATAATGTTTATCTGTGGTGTCTTTAAAATTCCAGTAATGACTTGCAACATAAGTAAGGATAATGCCATAGAATATCCTGAGAATGTTGCTTGTTCAAAACCTGGATTCTTGGGGTTTATAATTTGTGGGGTAGTTGAGTACTCTCGTCAGCAATCATAAGAGTTTGTGTTACAAGGACATCCATAATTTAAATTAAACCCATGCCCAGAACTCTGTATGCTAAACCAAGATTCTTACAGAATGGTTAAAATGTTTTCTGTAAAGATGTTTTCTTTATTTTCTGACACAGAATTACTATCTCTGCAGGAGAAGCTATCTAATAAAATAATTAGGAAGCAAAAACCTTGTTTATCGCATAATTTCGGTATTAAAATGTTTCTCTGTTAGAAAGGAAGTGCTATTTTTAATCAATTTCATTAGGTGGTAATGTAAGATGAAGAAAACTAAAACAAGATAAGAATTTCTCTTGTTCTTCTGCTGTCACCCCCTCTTCCCCATTCTCAGATGCTACATGGCAAGCATGTGATGGTACGTGTTGGTGGAGGCTGGGACACTCTTCAAGGTTTTCTGCTCAAATATGATCCATGCCGAGTGCTTCAGTTTGCAACTCTGGAAGAAAAAATCCTGGCGTTTCAGAAAGGGGTCACCAGTGACAGTGTCCCCAGCTTGTCAGCTAGAAATCAGGAGCCTCCTCTTATGAATCCAATGTCAGCTGTCAATATGTTTCACAAGCAGCCATCAAAACCTCGTGCTCCTGTTTTAGGTCTTGGGGCCAGTGCCAAGAAGGCTTTAGTTAAACGTCCTCAGTCCCCTGCCCTGGCATCACCAAGAGTGCTAGTGACCCCATCTTCCACTGCCAAGTCATCAACAGTCAGGTCCAAATTACAAGGGTCCGCAGCAAGAGGTGTGCAGTCTCCTTTCAAACCATTAGCTGGTGCCTCAAAGAAACTGGAGTCTCCTGCATGCAACTCACCAACTTCTGCTCTTTCACAGCCTGGAAGCAAAAGTTCTTCATGTGCAGGAGCAAGAACAGCTCCTGCTCCCTCTGAAACATTGCGCAAACGTATTCGGTCCCCCGATGCTACCAAGGTGAAATTTGCCCTGCCTCAGGGCTCCCCAGCACCAGCACTCCATCGTGCCCTCTCACCCTCTAAAAAACAACCATCTCTCTTGTCTGGGACAGCTGGAACAACCACTTCAAAACAGAAGTGTGTCCCTGCTAAATGCAAACCTGTATCTGTCACGAAAACCAAGGCAAATTCAGCTGCTCCCAGGGCTGCTCGGCTGCCAGTTACAAATCTGTGCACTGTTGCCAAGTTTGCACATTCTCAGCAGCTCCTTGCAAAACCTGCTGAAAATGATATTCAGAGGTCAGGTGTTGGGTCTCAGCATCCTCAGAAAGCCCCACAAACAACTTCTCACCTAGCAAGGAACTTGAAGACTGCTTCTGAGCTAAAGCTATCTGCTTCTGCACCTTCCCTTGCAGTTAGCAAAGCATCAAAGCCATCACCTCCATTGTTACCTACAAGCAAAAGTGTGTCATCAACTGGCAGCAAGCAGCCAAATGCCAGTAATACCCCTCAGGCTGGACCCTCTTTATCCAAACCTGCTGAACGCACACCTTTGTCTGTTGTACGGCTTCCTCAAACTTCAGCCAAAGCAGCAGTGACCAAAAAGCCAGCACAGCCTTCCACAAAAGGTCAGCATTCAACCAAAAACTTGCAAACAAACAAAAGCTTGGCCCCAACAGCCAAGAAGCCACTCCCAAAGGAGCAGGCATATAACAGAGGAACACCTGGTGCATCAAAAGATCCTCTTACGAAGAGCAGGCAAGATGATCATTATTTTGTTATGACAGGGACTAAAAAGCCCAGAAAGTAAACTAATTTGTTACCTTCTGAGTGCATCAAAAGATCCTCTTATGAAGAGCAGGCAAGATGATCACTATTTTGTTATGACAGGGACTAAAAAGCCCAGAAAGTAAACTAATTTGTTACCTTCTGAGGAAGTCTCTATTTTGTTCAAAAGGGCCTCTTGTAACTACTGAGGACACTGCACTGAGGACAAGGAAAAACAGTAAAATAACACTACATTTAATATGAAATATTAGGTATAACCTGCCTTTTGCTGCCTAACTTACTGTAAGAATCTGTTTATTTTGCGGTTTAGAAACTTCTGGATATATTTAGAAGGGAGCTTACTTGCTGTTTGGCACTGTGGAATGGCAAATATCGTTGATCTGCTGCAAATATGTGGGAGAGGAAAGGGGAATTAAGGCCGACACTTTTGCAGCAGAACTCTGGTGGTTCTGGCACATCTGCATTGAGGTATGTGGCAAGCAACAGAGCTGTGCAGAAGCTGTAAAATGTCTAATACCTCAAACAAAACTGTGGGTTTTGTTCACTAGTATCCCACAGCCCAAATCTAGGTCACATATTTTGGAAAGAGAAGAATTTTCTAGTCCTGTTTAGATTTGACAGATGCTATTATCAGTGTTCATTGTGCCCCCTCCATATGCCTTAAAGTGGATTCAGCTCACTTGGAAGTGGAGCTTGGTTTTTTTAAATTGGACACTGATATTCATGGCCTTGACTGCTCACTTTCATTGTGCCTTAGCCTTTCAAATTCAGAACAGAACTCTCCAGTGAGCAATATTACCTTTAAAACCCAGGGCAGAAAACATTGCTTGGTCCACATTCAAGTCTGACTAGCCTTCCAGAAAGCTCTTGCTGCATGGAGAGATGGTCCTGGGTTCTAGAGGAGACACTTTCCACTGGGCTGGAGCATCACGCCAGCTCCTACTCCTGGTTTGGAGCCCCAAAACAGCTCCTGCTGCAGCAACTCTGAGCTGCAAGCACTGACCTGTTCTGGCAGAACTTTACTGCTCTGCAGGAGTGGTCTTTGCATGTAAGACTGAATTGCTAAATATTTTTCTGAGTGCTACGGGTTAATTTTTGTTTACACTCTTTAGTGGCCTTTCTTGTTTTATTTATGGAGACCTCTTTCCTGGCTCTCCTCTATCACTCTCTGGAGATGAGAAGTAGTTTCCCAAAGAGGAATATAGTCTGCATTTGCCTTTAAACGTGTTAAAGTGCCAGAAAGCTATACACTGTTTACAGTGCACTGTTTACATCCAGCTCCTGAAGTCTTTCAGTGGGTTCAACATCTATGATGCTCGACACCTTTATCCTTGAGAAATGAGCTTCATGGTAGATTGAAAACTGCTGTCTTTAGGAGTAGTGCTGTTTAGTTATTTTGGGGTTAATGAACAGTTGTCCCTCCAGACACTGAGGAACTCTGAAGGTCTTTGAAGACACACTGGTGGTTTCCATAGACCATCACTTCTGCCCTCCATTCCCAGTCTATTTATGGGCAGGAGTGGATGTCACTGCCATAGAGGCTCCTGGATGGTGGAACAGGGAAGTCTTTTTAAAAGGAGAAGAGTTCCATGGAATATGTAGCTTCTGGTGTTAAGGGATTTTATTTTTGGGGCTTTTTTGTTTATTTTTTTTTTCCCCTGGAACTAGACTAAGCAAACATTGTAAACTGAGTTCTCATGCGATGTGGCAGAGTCATAGAGCTGCTTTTCTGAGCACCTTGTTAGCTTATTTTATTTAATTTATGATTTTATTTATGCATATCTACTGTACAATACTGCTCACAACCTGCTGGGAGTAAGCAGTAGATGCCAGTATCCAAACTGTAGGAGGAAAACAGATGTGTTTTGATAATGTGGACATAAGTCCCACAAGATCCCATACAGAGTTGTATGTCTGGGGAAGGCCTTGGGCTTGCTTGTTTTATATGTACGCTGGTCAAAGCCACTGCTACAATGTTAGGCAGGGTATTGACTACAGTGCTTTCCTGTCTGGTTTGATAAATCTGGCACATGATTTCATATGCTGAAAGCATTTTACAGTAGATGATTTGCTTTTTATTTTTGGGCTTCCAAATGGTGAGATACATATGATGTATCTCATGCAGGTTAATAGCTGACTTCTTGGGATTTTCTTTCTGTAATGGGTCTGGAAGAGACGGAGTTAACTTTCTTCATAGTACCCCATATGGGGCAGTGTCTTAGATTTAAAATCTAAACCCACGTTGATAACACGGTGTTGTTTGGGCTGTTGCTGAACAACCCTTCCATGGTAAAATCTTTCTTTTTCTCTGCCCCCACAGTGAGTAGGCAGGAGATTGGGAGTGACATGGCTGGGAACTGGCCAACTTGAATTGGCCAAAGGGTTGTTCCATATCATAAGGCATCACCTCAACAATAAAAATAAGGAAGAGGTAGAGAAAGAAGGGCGTGCAGGTTGTGTGGCTTTTAAGGTGGTTGTTTGCCAGCTGGCTGGGCATCAGTCTCTCTGTGGGGGTAGTGAAGGACTGCCTTTGCATCACTTGCTGGTTTACTTTTCATATCTTTCTTCATTCATTAAACTTTTTATCCAGCCAGTGAGTTTTGCTTTTGTTGCTCCTCTCTCCTTATCTTGCTGGGGGTGGAGGAGAGGTAAGGGGAGTGAGCAGCTGCACAGGCACTTGGTTGCTGATTGGGGTCAGCCCACAGCACCTTTTAAACCATTTACAAGGTTTTTAGCATCAGTTTAAACACGGAGGCTCTTAGATCTCGGTGTAAAGAAACTTCAATAATCTACTTTTCTGACCTACAGAGAAAATGAGGCAAATGGCTTCATCTTTGGTATATACGATGTCATGTAATAAACTGAATTTTAAAGTTCAAAATTGAAATAAAAATGCATAAGCTGTTACAGTTAAAACCTAATCAGCTAATCCAAAATTACACATGGGTAGACTTAGTTTGGTTTTATTGTAAAAATAGTGTATTTGAGCATGATCCAACTTATGTGGAAACTGTACTTGCCAACTGCATAGTCATGTAACATGAGGTGAGCCAAGAAGGTGTAACAAAGTACATCCTAATGGAAATGCATACTATTTTTGCAATGTTTGCTGCCAAATAGCAAGTCTAAACTTCAGTTTATATTACCTTTTGTGAGGGAAAGATAATTTAGAGCAAGAATCAGACTGAATTCTCCATGTGATATTGATGTCCTCTGTATGAGTACTTATTTAAAATAAACATACACTGCACCTTTTTATGTGCATCTTTATGTTTCTTCTCCTGATATCTTTTTGCAGGGAGGGAAAGAGGATGCATTTCAGAAGGCTCATGTTTTCCCTCTGCCACCACATAAATAGTAGATTCCATCTCTGGCATAAATAGCTGCAATAGTCTAATCCATTGCTTGGTTTGGAGTTCAAGACATTTTTACTCTGATCCTGTTGTCAGTGTAATTGTGTGGAAGGGGCATCTTACCCTTTTCTAGGCTCCTCTAGGAATGAGCCTAAGTAGTTTCAGATATACCAGAAAGTTGTGTTTGCAGCTCTACTTGAAATATAAAGCACCTGTGTGCCATGTTTTGCCTGCTTATATCTTGTCAACAAAAGATCTATCTCTGTGTCTGTTGCCATTAATGACAGAAATTTAATTAGTTTTGCTGAGTGGAGAATTGGATGTTCTCACTGGACCCACCTAATTAACTGTTTTTTTCACCTTTACTATTGGATGTTTTTAGAACTCTTTTAAAGCCTGCCTTTGTCTGCTGTTCCAAAGTGTCTTCAGTTCCTGGCAGTCTGGTGCTGGTGCCCAATCACATAGACTTACCTTTCCACTTCAGCTGTGTCTAGTAACCACATGCAAGTGGCATCTACCATCCTTGTTCCTACAGGACCAAGCTGTGCATAGGGGTTAGTTGCAGCTTTTTTTTTTTTTTTAAAGAGATGCTGTTACATCAGGCCAATAAAATGCAAAAGGAGTCCAAGATTTTCTCATGTAAGTATCCTAATCCTATTTTATATATCCTATTCATATCTCTCTATCTATCTGGTAAATTTCAGGGCAGTTTTCCTTTTAAAGCTTCTAAAAACTTCTAAAAAACTTCTAAAGCACCCATAACTTTAAACATCAAACTATGCCGCTCCTTTTCTTTTTCCCTACAGGGAAGCTGAAATCTGTTTGTTAGGTGAGTGAGTTCTATGGGTTCATCTGGTGTCTTAATTTTACAGAGACTACTCTGACAATGTAAACCCTTAACTTCTCTAGAAATACATGGGCAAAACTTTTTGATTCAAATAAAACTTTTAGCTAGTAAAATCCATACTTGGCATGAAATAAGTAATGCAAGAGACATTTAATGCTATAAGACCCTTTCATTTCACGCAAGCACATTATTTAAAACCTCCTTTTCATTATTTTCTTTAAAAGCCAAGACTGAAGATCACTTTCCTAGTAGAAGTTTTGAAAAACAAATTGTCTGAAATGTAAAAAAGTTCAACACTTATACTTTTCAGACATTTTAAGAAAAAATAAAACATTAAAGTATTTAAGAGGTGAAATCTACTCACAGTTCAGATCTAGCTAGCCAGTAATCCCCATTAACTGAGAAATGAACTTTCAGGTGTTGCACCTGGTGGGAGTGCCAGCAGTGAACGGCTTTCTACTTGGGGGGGCTACTGATATCTAAAGCAATGCTATCATGGCATTTTGTGTGAAGTATTTTGTTCCAGATGGAAGAAAAACATTACAGGATGGGAGCAGCTGGCCATTTCTCCAAAGAATGTAGCTAGGCAGAAAGTATTGACAGATTTGTTGTGCTAAGAGGTTTTAGAAGGTAAGATTGCAGCATAGAACTTTGATGTAAAATTGGCCTTTAGTGCTGAGTCAGATAGTACTGTGCAAAGCTGACGTCCTACTAAACAAAGCCAAACTTGCATGCTTCCTCAAACACCCTGTTAGGATATTCACTCAGGAAAAGTGGAATACATTAGTGTTCGTCAAAATACTCAGGGCACCTCATAAGAACCTCATGTTAAAGTCAGTTACATGCATCTTTACAGTAAAAGTATATACT